TGAACATTTGCAAATGCGGATGGTTGATTGACAATTCTACCATGACCAAAAATGGATAATCATAGACGTTACATCGTCCGACCTGCATGCCATGTTGTATGTTAGCCCATGAAAAAATATATGAGTGTTATAATATAATGTTTTTCTGTTTAACCGAAAATTTGCTTTTTTACAGGCCGGTTACAGGCAATATGATTGATTGATTATTGACTGAGAAGGATTACTTAAGAAGAAAGCAGCAGATATAAGGTTCCCTCGAATGACCAGCAACATGATGAGACTCTATTAGATAATGAACACTGCAATCCGAGGCATCCTCGTTTGTCACTGTCTCTTTCTTCAGATTTGCACGCGTGATCATCATATCAGATTAGGGTCTGATATGATTGCTGTCACATGAAAAAAAATCCAAGACCTCACCGTAGTCAGATCGTTCAAAAGTATGTCGAACATTTGGCCTCGTTACGTCTGGGAATCTAACTCGCTGATGCCTGCCCCGAATCACGGGAGAAACCAACTGAAGCTGCTGCCTGTGCCACTCAGAGGAATAGACGAATAGAACGGTAAAGATGGGATGCTGTTCATCCAAGTCCTGTGTTTGATTGCGTGCTTGCAAATGGTATTACCTTGCCAGGGCATAAGACTGCTTGTTTTACGCTGGTAGTGCATTCCGTTTCATGCATTAAGATTACAGTAAACCAACCGTTTCGGCATTAATTTTCCTTCTGTTTAAGGACGTACTGTTGTTAGATAATAAAGAACTCACTTGTGATCTGCAGAGTCAATAAAGGTCCTATAGATATTAATGAGTATATGATACACCGCTGTTCGGCAATTACTGACGCATGTTGTATCAACAGGAATCTTTAGGGGTTTGAGCGCTCTTGCCTGTACAGAATATATCGGATGCAAATTCTAACCAATTTCCCTGTCGAGACATAGAAACTATAAACTCATCCTTCGATCATGTACAACCGCGAGATGATGCACGGCTTATCAACTTTGCAATTCACAGCGTGCAGAAAAATTTAAGGCTTTAAAGCAGGGGTCGGCGAACGGCTAAATTCCCCATGTGAAGTAAAAATGAAATTCTTGGGGATAATGAGAAATCAACAGATATAAATAAAAATATATAAAAAGGACGTTCCTAGTTACGACAGAAATTTATCTTCTGGCAACACTGCATCTGGCCAATGTAATACACCGGTTTAGGAGACGTCACGCCCTGTTGAGCTTCAAACAATTTGGTTGCTAAGGCGTTGTCAAGTGATTAAACAGTTATTATTTGTCAGTTGTCTATTATCCGCCTTGACTTTATTTTTAGACACGTCTTTTGCTTTAAGTAGTCATTTAATTCATGTGAATAGTTCTATTTTGAGTCCAAGATTTTCATTTATTAACCATATTTTAGCCGTGTCAATTCAATGATTTGATTAACATATTTTTTTCTTGCTTGATTAATTTTCGACGGTTAGTAAAATAATTAAATACTGCTTTTATCTTGAGGACGTCTTAGTGCCACTTTTACCAATTATTGTAGATTTAAAAGAACTTCAAAAAACCATGAAGCCCCGGCAGAGTTCGCAAATAACCACCCGTAACAACGGTTGATGGGGCAATTGTTTGAACATTATTCGAATTGCTCTGACATAAAAATGCCCCAATTTTGATGCCATTACATCAAAAATGAAAGATTTCTCCAAAACCTGAAGTGAAACAGTTTTCAAAGAAATCCTCCTGCTTCATAATGAGGATATTAATCTATTTTATCGCATTTATTTTATACTTTTTACATTCATAATTGTATTCTCGGTATAAACATATTCAATAAACCTTTTGAATTTAAATAGTCTATGATTTTCTCACTTTCAAATCAAGGGGGTAACATCGGCGTAAATAAATATATTTTGGGGTAATAGGTAACTAATGATCCCCGATCCCTGCTGTAAAAGGACAGCGACAATTAAATACGATGGAACTGGAACACACTTGCCAATAATGCTTAACATAAGGACTGACATACATTCATATCAGACATTATACGTGATAAGAAACATTATACGTGATAAAAAACGGACAAAAAACAGCGATGCTATAACTATGCAACATATTGCATAGTCCGTTACTCCTTCCATCTATGTCACGTTGTTTAACAAGAGCTCGTAACGCTAAAAGTGAACTGTAGCATGGGTCTGTGCCGAAAGACATAGCTATTTACATAGTAAGAATAAAGCTGATGACATTATAAATCGTAATTAACAGTCTAACGGTTATCCATAACAAGCTGCTAATAATTTAAAACCACG